ATAAAAGCCAGCGCACTTACAGTGGCCTGCAAGGCCAGGCTGTTAGGTCTCGGCCTCAGCTCTTCCTTCCCCTGCCTCGCTGTCTGGCCTTGCAGTGTTCCCTGAACACACCGAGCCCTCTTGTGGGCCTCCCCCAGCTTCTCCTGCCTGGGGAGTTCTCTGCGCTGATGTCCTCCTTCAACTTCGCTGCCTCCAACCAACCTGTTTAAAATTGCAACCCATCCCACTCCTCCTCCCTTAGCTCTTTTCACCTTATACTATATAATTATTTATTTCATCTCCTTTCCACTAGAATGTAAGCTTCCTAAGGGCAGGAGGATCTCACTGATGTGTCACCAGTTCCTAGAACAGTGCCTGCTGTGTTGTAGGCACTCGTCAGATACCTGTTGAATGAGTAACGACTTCAGCAATGTGTCGTGAGCTTTGGTGGTTATTAAACATAAAAAAGCATTTCATCTGAAATGTATCTGAGAATGATGGGTTACTGTCAGCATTTTTCTCTGATTTAGTGGATGTACTTGTGAATGAATATTACTTTATGCTAGAAAGAAGGTTCAATATCAGTTTTCTTCCTTCATTTTGTCTTTATAGATGTAGACACTGAGATCTGCTTGTTCACCTAAATAAGTAGATGGACATGGAAGGTGTTTTGTTACAGCTGTGTTGTTCTGTCCTTGGACTTCAAAGTCAGAGGCCAAAAATCACATAAGATATTTTCATGATCTTTCAGCTGACTACTAGATGAGTTTCCTTCTTCCATTTTGTTGAAAGCAGAGAAGTGGAAACCACCCGACTTGGAAAATGCTTTACAAACCCAATCATTAGAGTCCTTTCACGTCCGTTTCTGAGGTGTGCACCAAAACCGCTCTCCAAGCCCTCCAAGGCCTGCCAGCTGACCACTAACCATACGTGCCACTCTTCACTTGGAGGCACCTTGTTAGACCTGAAATACCCGGAAAGAGTAGAGAAAATCGTGACATTGTTAATTCCATCATACCCTTATCAATATAATATACTAAAAACTTATCACATACTTTATATCTTCTTCAAAAGCTTGAAGCTGCAGAGTTAGATCATTCCATTTATCAGAAATAACTGCCATGTGCGTTAATAAGCAGAACCAGTTCTTATTGTCAGACCAGTCAGCAGTCAGAGTCACTCTGTCTTGGGCAAAGTCTTTCTTCCCTTTTCATCTCTGAGATGTGCCTCTGATGGTCATCTCACTCCTGAGTTTAATTCCTAGTGAGGGTGAGGCATGGAGCTGGTCACCTGTTGCTTATTGGCACCCTCTTTGCCTGCTTCTCGTGGGGGTGATGCATTCTTTTACAGTTGTCTAGGGGCTGAAGTTACTAAATGAAATTTTAATCATCCCTACTGTCAGACTCCACAATATGTTTGAATTCAAGACATTCCAACATGAGCCGGGGTATCTTATTTATAATGCCATGCTTTGCCCTTAACAGAAATGGATGTAGGATAGGGAACTGCACAACCCTACCGTAATGCCTCAAGTCAAGGAGCTTTGCTGTACCAGTGCATTGCATGGTCCTTTTGTCCTCTGGGATTTTTTTATGCCTTGGGGCAGTGCATCATAGTAAGAGGATAGATTAGCAGTAGGCCTTCTTTTACAAGTGGGAGAAAGATTGGAAGAGGAGGTGGGAAAGGACAGCTGCATGACTCCTTGAGCTCAAGAGCACCGTCAGGCAGGTTCATTTTAGGACAGAGCACATATGGACACTGGCCACTAGAAATGGATCCTCTTAAAGCTGTTTGTGCCCACATACCCTTTGGACAGTCTGTCCTCCCAGGGATCTCCGTAACCTAGCTGGAAGACCCTGTTGTCTGGTTCCTGGAAGGCAGCAGGGGGTGGGCTCCTGGACGCAAGAGGAGAGAGGGGCACTTCTTCTCATTGTAACCCTTGAGGGGTGGGGACATGCTGGCTGATGGAGAGCTGGGTGCCAGGAACTTTCCCTACTGCGTTTCATTGCTGTACTTGAACACCCAGTGATAGGAGCAGCAGGACATTTTCAGCTACCACAGCCGCGGATGGTGACATAGTTGGCCCGCCCTAGATTTGGATGTGGTGCTCTGGGCCATGGTGCGCACTGGGTTACAGACACTGTATGTGAACCCTCTGCCCACTGGCTCCAGAGTTGAGCAGGGCTTTCTCCACTCTCCACCCTGCCGAGTGCAAGCTTGAGAGCCAGACCCAGAAGGTGAATCAGTGAGAACTCTTCAACTGAGGTCTTCATGGAGAATATCACAGTAAATGAGACATGCTCTTGGGTTTCATCTCAGTCTAGGCTGCTCCCCTTCTGCTTTTTAAGTTGGACTATGGAGTTTCTGGGCAAATTCAGTAATAAATAAGCAGACTAGATAAGGTCCAAAAACTATGTGGCTTAGAAGAGGGAAAAACAAGTACTGGCTCAGAAGTAGATCTTTTTCCTGAAAGAGATTTATTCCATGAAATGGAAGAAAAAAAATTAGAACAGACTGCTCTCTATTTTCAATGAGTTCAGAGATGATAGAATTCTAATCATTATTAAATGAGAATTGCTCTGTGGCAGAGGAATATGGTCAAGTCAGTACCACATTAGACCAAATCACAGTTTCTTTGGCACCGGTAGGTGGTAGAGTTGAAACTATAGGATCAGTGAAGTGCAAAGCCAACTGGAGAAGTATGGCGATGGAATGGCCAGAGCACAGCCTTGAGGATGAAGCAGAGCACAGCAGGTGCAGCGCTGACGGCCGAAAGCCGCCGTGGTGATTCGTAGAGCGCCACATGGTGTGAGGAGCCTGATGTTAGACTGCTGTGTGCGGTGATCAGTACAGAAAACGGGCAACGTCCACAGAGCCTGTGGTGAACGCGGGTGTGCTCTGAGTGTCTTATACCTACAATTTCACTTATTTCAAAAGTTGTTCAATCTGGAGTTGAATTTTTCCCCAAAAAATATCTTTTCCAAAGAACTAATACTGTCAGTCACTAATGCAAGTGTGTTTATAAGCACTAGAAATAGACATATCAAATGAGTGGGGGAAGGATAGAACCGTAAATGCGGTAGGGTTAGGCAAGCAATTAGAAAAAATGCACCACCTTATTCTGTATAATAAACTCTAGATGAATGAATGAGCTGATGAAGTACATGAAACTGTAAGATTACCAGGGGGAAATACAGAAATATTTCAATAATCCTGGTTGGGAAAGACCTTTTTAAGCATAATACCAAAGACAGAAACCACGGAAAGAAAGACTGGCGGCTTAAAAATGAAAGCCAGTTGAACAACAAAATCAAAAGGCAAACAGCAGACTAAGAAACATGGTTAAACAAATATAAAGGGCGAAGGTTAATCTTCTTAAGAACTTTTTTATGTTGGTAGTTAAGAGATTAATTCCTCAGTAATAAAAGAAGAGTTAAAGAACATTAACCATTCAGTTCTTACAAGAAAAAATATACAAGTGACCAATAATATGAAATAAATTTCAGTCTCACGAGTATTCATCAGATGAATGTAAAATAAACAGGGAAGTAGGGGCCGGCCCTGTGGCCGAGTGGTTAAGTTTGCACGCTCCGCTGCCGCGGCCCAGGGTTTCACCGGTTCGGATCCTGGGTGCGGACATGGCACCATTTGTGAGGCCATGTTGAGGCAGCATTCCATGTGCCACAACTAGAAGGACCTGCAACTAAGATATACAACTATGTACCGGGGGGAGTTGGGGAGATAAAGCAGGAGAAAAAAAAAAAAGGTTGGCAACAGTTGTTAGCTCAGGTGCCAATCTTAAAAAAACAACAACAAGGAAGTAGTATTTCTCTTCTGTGGCACTGGCAAAGCGGAAAAACACTGGGGGCCAGGTAATGCCAGTTTTAACTGCTGGACCACATAAATGTTGATGCAATCTCAAAACTCTTAAGAAACTTTTTTTTAGTGATGAGTTGAGACTAACAACGTGTTCATTTAAGTGTTCATTTTATATAAGAAACTGAGGGAAACAGTAAGATGTAGTATTGCTGATTTGTTCACAGTGATAAATACTGAAGGAAGTTGAACCTTCATTTTAAAGATGGAGTTAATTTTGTGAAATTGTGAAATTTAGAGTAATTTAATTCCTGGGGGTATTTCTAGGCTCATGGCAGCATGAGTGGTGTTTACAGGGCAGAGCCAAGGTCACCTACAGGCCAAGCTCACCTGTGGGCCAGGCTCACCTGCAGCCGACTCCAGAAGAGGCAGAGGCAGGTGGCACAATCAAGAGGGTGGGGTCTGCAGACCTGAGGGACGGTGTGGCAGTGCCCCTCCGACCCTGGACATCCTGCATGCCTGCCAGCCCCTGTTCAGAGGGCCTGCTCTGTTCTGAAGGCTGTCCCAGCACTCAGCCAGGCAGCCCGCCCACAGCTGTGGACTGGGCACATGTGCCGGGGCAGCAGTTTTCTCTGGTTCACTGCTGTGCCCCCGTGGTCTGGGGCAGGGCCCGGCACAGGATCCGTGCTCTGCACGTTTAATGCATGGTCAAAGCCAGGTGCCAGGCACTGGGAATACAGCAGTCGATGCTAGTCCGCCTCCCCCTAGGAACTGACATTCTCAGGGGGAGGCCAGCAGCAAACAGATGGGCACGCAGCTTAAACGGGGCGGGTACCTGTTGTGAGCTGTGTTGAAGGGATACACCGGGTGTTGCGATGTGGAAAACGCTGGGGCCGAGGTGAGAGAGGGGGCTGCTTAGGTCGAGTGTACCAAGAGACTGCAGAAGAGAAGGAGCAGCCATCCAGAAGGATGCCCACCCTTTCCCAAGGGCCCATGCCTGTGGGGAACGCACAGCAGGTGGGCCGGGTGGAGCCTTCTATATTAATCAGGTCAGGGGCAGGGTGTGGTGAAGTGACTGAGGAACCCTGCAGTCCTATTTTAAATTCTTAATTCTCTGTATTTGCCATATCCTAACGTAGTGTTTGCTTTCTGTTTCCTTATTTTAATTTAAAGGATTTTTTGTTTTGTTTTGTGTTTTTTGATAGATGAGGGTTACTACCAGGGTGGAAAATTTCAGTTTGAAACTGAAGTTCCTGATGCGTACAACATGGTGGTGAGTAGCCTGCGCTTGAGCGGATGCTTCCCCTTTGCGTGGCTGGTGGCGTCCCAGGGCCCAGCCCTGTGCCCACGTTGGGTGCACGTGTTACCTGTTACCCGCCCTGTCCTGGGCCTGAGCACAAAATTGCTGATATTTCTGTAGTTAGTGTCACTCGTCAGCAGTATTTAAAAGAGTTTCAGTAGAGAGGTTCATTTTTTCAACAAATATTTGTGAGTACTGCATGCCAGGCATTCTGCACTGGGCATCCAGCTCTGCTAAGGTCATAGTAACTGTCCTGAGGTGGGCACCTTTCCTGGGAGCTGCTCGTGTGTTTCGTGTCAGTCTTATTTGTAAAATTCTGGCACTGAAGAAAAAAGCGTTTTTTTAAAAAATCATAGTTTTGTTTATAGTATAACACCAAAATTCCATAAGTGTATAAAATGTGTATTTCAGAATTTTAGAAAAGAAAACAACTCGTAGTTTTAAACTATAAGTAATTTATACCCATGGCTACATGTTAATCCCTCCAGGACCCTTCCAGGTAATAATTATACCAAGTCGATTACATTCTGTCTTTGCTCTTAAGGAACTTACTGACCAGTTAGGAAGGGGAGAGAAAGTGTAGAAAGGGATCATAAAGTGATAAAAGTGGTAGGTAAGTCATGGACAATAGAGATACTGATCAATGATAGGAAACTAATTAATGGGAATTCAGAGAAGGAAAAGAGAGGGCCACTTTGGAAAGTGGTCGGGCGGGTTAAGAAGGAGAACTAGGGGCCGGTCCCATGGCGTAGTGGTTAAGTTCGTGCTCTCTGCTTTGGTGGCCCGGGGTTCGCAGGTTCAGATCCCAGGTGCAGACCTACCCACCGCTCTTCAAGCTGTGGCGGCATAAGTAGAGGAAGATTGCTAACAGATGTTAGCTCAGCGACAGTATTCCTCACACACACACACACAAAAGGAGAAATAGAACTGGCGTTGTCCTGATTTGGGTTGCCCCCTAACCAGGGAGGTGTTCAGGGTGACATGGAAATCTCTGGAGCTGTGTCAACAGGTATAGAAATGAGAACTGGCCACCTGTGTGTAGTAGATTGACCAAGTCGACTTGAGTGGAAAATTAGGGTGGGGAATAATTGAGGAGGAATGAGAAAACTCAGATTTAGAGGTTTGTTGGGGGCATTTTCACTCTGGCAATGAGAAGCCATTAGAGACTGTGAGCAACTCCACACGCCTTGGAGAGGGGATGTGTGCCCCCTGAGAGGTGCAGTCCCTCCCAGTCTGGAACTGTCAGGCGGGCACGTGGCCAGCTCTGCTTCCTTGTTGTGTATACCTATATATCTGTTTCCCCCTGGTGTTTCCCAGCCTTCTCCAGGCCTATCAAATAGCAAAGACAAATCTGATGCAAAATGAAGTGTCTTGTTCACCTGAGGCTATGGGTACTGGGGGCACTGCCTGCCCCATCCTTGGCCTGCAGTAACTGCTCCTACTGACTGACAAGTGGGATTGTCTGCCCCCAGCACCAGGGTAGCACTCAGTGGCTATAAAGCTTTCTGTTTGAAGCCAAACCTTTATCTGTGGAAATTGATCTTTACTGGGCTACTACATTCAAAGTTCTTTTTGAAATGTAATTTGTGAGGATGGGGAAGAGTTGGCAATCCAAGAAAAAGAAATTCAATTTTTAAGCAAAGTCGGGAAAATATGCATTTCAGGTCTTTGTCCATCTGTCCAGCCACCTGCTGAGACTTTCCGTATTTCCCAGATCACACACTGAGCAACCTGGCTCTGCAGAGCACTGTACTCTCACAGGTGAGAGGCAGCTTGAGAGGTGTGGTTTAAGTACAGATACTTAGAATTCGGGGACTATTTTGATGGTTTCTGGAAACAACCAGCATAAAGTACTTAAAATGCCAGATTTTGTAATTTGTCTGGACGTATGCCATCTGTATGCATTACTCATCAAAAGAGTGTTAAAATTAGAGGGTGATGAGTTTGTGACACAGTCTTTTTTGGAAAAGCAGTGAGTTTTTGGGCAGGAGGATGGCTTAGCGGGGAGCGTAGCATAAGCTGGGAAACTTTTCAGACGAGCCATGAGTCTGAGAACCATCATTCCAGGTACCTCAGGCATCATTTAGTAATGGAGAGTCTTGTTCCCAATATGGGAAGAGAGCAAAGCATGAGAAAATAATCAAGGAAGGGGCAGATTTTCGTTGAGAGCTCCTGTGCGCCAGGCGCTTCCACTCACTTTACCTGTGTCATTGTCCAGTAGTTCCGTGGGTGACGTTAGTATTCATTTCTTTACACATTAGGAAGTCAGGCTCTGGAAGGGAGAACTTACCTGGTTAGCTTTGTCAGTCTACGGCTCAGTTGCTGAAGCTGATTCTTGTCCAGAGCTGCCCAGCTTCCTAACGTGTGCCCTTCCCGCTGTACCTGGTGGCCACTTCATAGTGAGAAAATGTTGGTCATACTGTTCCATCCCTGTGTGGCTTCTTCAAGAAACAGAGAGGTGGGAAATGGAATAAACAGAGGATAGAAACCACTGAGCCTCAAAGACACGTTTCCTGTATTCATGGTGACTTATTATGATTTTACATTTTTATGTTTTAGTTTCTGGCTCCTTTGGAAAATTTCTAAATGATGGGCTAGTCCGATTTCATCAGGAGTGAAACACACGTTGTCCAGCTGAGAAGCACCAAGAGGCCAGCCCCCTGGAGTGGACCCAGACCCTACTCTGCTGCTGTTAGGGCCCCTTCCACTCTCTGCTCTCCCGACCTCTCATCCAGGCTAAGGTGGCACAGCTGCCTTGCTGTCAGGCCAGTGAGTGTCCCAAGCTCAGGGCAAGTGGTAGAGGGTGACGCCATCCCCAGGAAACCACGAGACGTCAGGCTTAATCGATGCAGAGGTGGTTGTGTTTACCTGTTTCTTAGCTAGTCTTTACAGGCATGTGCCGCATAACGACATTTCAGTCAAGGATGGACTCCATACATGATGGTGGTCTCATAAGATTAGTACCGTGTAGCCTGGGTGTGTAGTAGGCTACACCGTCTAGGTGTGCGTAAGTGCAGTCTGATGTTCGCACAACAATGAAGTCACCTAATGACGCATTTCTCAGAACATATCCCTGTTGTTAAGCGATACACGACTGTACTTACGTAATTCTGTTTAGCATCTCTTGCCACTAGGCTGTCACTTCCTGAAGGAGGAGTCTGGGAGTGTCTTAATTACATGGTGTTTCCAGTGCTTGGCAAGGGCCTGCCCCACCAGGCGTGCAGTACACACTTGCCCGATGGTTGGCGTGCCGTCTGCCACCTACAAACTATGGCAGGGAAATTAAACCAGCAAATGAAAACACACAAGTTCTGGGCATTTAGGGTGGAGATGGTGAGGGGCATCCGTGTTTGCTTTGGATGAGGAGACAGCCAGGTTCAGCAGGTTAGCCTGAAACGGCTTTGTGGAGCTTTCTCAGGGTTCTTTTGCTTTTATGCCGTATCTTGATTTATATCACTTCTGTACTTTATAGGAACTTTTTTTCTAACCCCTAACACAGTTCCTGCAGTTAAGGTCTGTTATTAAGATTGTGAATCTGAAAATCTTTTAATCAGTAAAGTAGATCATTACTTTGGAATAAACTTTCATTTTATTAAGATTGGCCCTGAGCTAACATCTGTTGCCAATCTTCTTTTTTCTTCTTCTTCTCCCCAAAGCCCCCCAGTACACAGTTGAATATTCTAGTCATAGGTCCTTCTGGCTCTGCTGTGTGGGACACCAGCACAGCATGGCTTGCTGAGCAGTGCTAGGTGCACACCCAGGATCCACAGTGGTGAAACCCTGGGCCGCCGAAGCGGAGCACATGAACTGAACCACTCGGCCATGGAGCTGGCTCAGAATAAACTTTTAAAAGAAAGAAAACACCTATCCCTCCTCCAACATACCTCCCTATACCCCAATAGCTAAAATTCAAATTGTCCTTTGGTTCTTTGTCCTTTTGTCCCTGAAATTTACCTCACAGCCATAGGCCTTCCTTGTAATCTCTCTTGGTCTTAGAAATTGGCTGAAATGATTTAGTGACATTTAATGGGCTCCTAAAATGTGCCGGGCTCTGTCAGGTGCTGTAGGCTAGAGACATGGAGTTGGGCAGCTGTGTCCCAGGAGACAGACACAGAAACAGTGATGAGCCAGGGTTGTGATGTGGCCATGGGGACCCCCGGGGAGATGGAGACGCCCAGAGGAGGAGTAGGGCCTGGTGCAGACAGCAGCCTAGCTATGGTGTCACACAGTCCTCGGGTCTCACGCTGCTTCCATGGCATGTCGGTCATGAGTTGGTTGGAGGAAACCGTGTATGGAAGCAGGAGAAAGGAAGTCAGCTTTGAACTCTTTGGCTCCAGTTTCCTCCTGTAAGTGACGCATGTCACGTCCCCTCACACGTTATTGGTAACGTAACCAAATCAAGTAGTGTGGCCATGATCGGCCCAAAGCGAGTAACGAAGGGCTGTCTTGCCATGTTTCCAGAAGGAAGAGAGCCAGAGATACCACAGGTGATGCCTGAAATCCCACTTAGTCCTCTTCTTTTTATGTCGTTTATTATACTTTGTAGGCACTTGAGGAAAAATAGCCATGCAAAAATGGAATGTTAATCACCCATTATCTGTCCACCTGGAGATGATCACCATTAACTTTTTGATGTATGTCACAGACAGTATATAATTGTACATAACAATGGGATCACGCTCCATGTATCTTGGTAACTTTGGGGTTTTTAACATAACATAATAAGTTCTCATGGTAATGTCTGATTACATCATCATTAATAAGAGCTCTTCATGTGTGATGTATCATCGCTTTAAGCCAGTCCTTTATCATCAGTCCACTAGTTGGCCAATTTTTGATAGTGTGAACCAGACTTTCTGTGAAGGGCCAAATAGTAAATATTTTAGACTTTGTGGACCATATATGGTCTCTGTCACATATTCTTTTTTTAAAAAACCTTTTAAAAATGTAGACCATGTACTTAGATCGCAGACCAGGCAAAAACAGGCCTGGCCTGCATTTGGGCCATGGCTACAGTTTGCTGACCCCTGGAATAAACAGGGCTGGGATGTATGTCCTAGACAACAGCTTGTGTGTGCTGCCTCTGTCCTTTGGGTAAATTCTTAGAAGTGGAAGAATGGGTATTGAGTAACTGATGCTAATTTGAAAGCTCTTCATAACTATTAAATTACCCTCCAGAGAGGTCATGCCCATTGGTATCCTCACCATCTGGGTTTGAAAATTCCCTTTCCGTTTTTCTTAAACCCTCAGCGTGGTGGGGTATTTTTTCTTTGGTACCATTTTGAGAGGAAGTAAATGGTATCTAATTGTCATTTGAATTTTCATTTCTTGAATAAGTAGAATGCTAAGTATTTTTTCTGACCTATTAGCTATTTATGTTTTTATGAGCTGTTACTATGTGCTTATTTGCCATTTTTTCCATTGTTTTTCTTATTATAAGAGTTATGAAGGCCAGCCCCAATGGTCTAGTGGTTAAAGTTCCACGCGCTCCACTTCAGTGGCCTGGGTGGAACCACACCACTCGTCTGTTAGTGGCCATGCAGTGGTGGTGGATCACAGGGAAAAACGAAAAAGAAGATTGGCGACAGATGTTAGCTCAGGGCCAATCTTCCTCAGCAAAAAAAAAAGTTGTTATATGGGACTTTTTTCTTAGTTTTCTTAGCTATACTGTAAATATTTTCTTGTTTTTCATTTGTCTTTTATTGTTGTTGTTGTTCTATAAAAGTTTTTTTGTTTCACCACTATAGTCAAATCTACTTTTCCTTCACAAATTTTTCATGTGATGAAATGCTTAAAACAGCCTTCAGACGCCAAGACAGCTCATCTACATTTTCTGCTAGTACTCTTATAGTTCTGTGTCGTTTATGTTTTGTTCATCTGGAATAAAGCTCTAAGTAGGGATCCAAGTATATTTTTCCAAATGCTTAGGCAGTTGTCCTCTGAAGACTCCCTCTTTCCCCAGTGATTTGCAATGCAGTGTTTGTCATATCGTAAACTCTTAGCTGTGTGATGGAGTAGGTGGCAATGCCAGTCACTGAGGTAGGAGGTGGAGCTGGGTATTTCTTGTTTGTCTTCCTTTAGGATGGGGTGGGGGCCTACAAGAACACTTCAGTTTGGAAAGTGTGTGTCAGAATCCGGGCCCACAGTTCTGATGCAGCGGTTTGCTCTCATTTTTGAGGACTGTAGTTAAGAGGGCCATCGGGAAGGGAGGCATCTGTGTCAACATCTAATGTGGCAGGTGTGGAGGGACAAGGAGGAGAAGGGGCAACTCCAGTCAGACACTTGGAGGTGTAGTGAACACTAGCGAGTGACCATGTGCCGGAGACTCCATAGAAGGGAGGGAGACGGAGCCTTCAGGGTCCTTCCGATGCTGAGTCAGTGATTCAGCGTACCTGCTCTGTTAACCTCATACACTTACCTGGAGCGATCCCTCCAGCCCCGACAGTGCTGGCCTTCTCTCTCCAGCTCAGAGGCCTCGCTGGAAGTGCAGGACGTACTGGCTGGCGTTCGTTCTGCCTAATGCACCTCGTTTACTTGCAGAAAAGCAAATGAGAGCGTGTTAAATTGATTTAAACTCACTCTGAACCTTAATTCTGTAGTCCTCAGGCACCTCCATTTGCATGGTTGGATTGATCAGTTTGGGGAATATTTTGATGTCGTGGTGTTTTGAAATCAGTTAGAAAATTTAGGAGGGTGCTGAAAAAGTGTGTTTGTTTTATACAAATAAAAAGATGAAACTATTTGATTACTAGAAAAAGTACAGGAGAGTATTTGGGTGGTGAAGTATTTTCTAGGTTGGTATCAAAGACAAAAATTCGATTACAAACATTTGACAAAGCCTTCTCACCTCACATAACATCATAAATGCAAATTAATACCAAATGATAAACTGGGAAAATGTTTCCCCCCTGTGACAAAGGGTTGACACATTAATGTCTATGAGATGACATGTCTGGTGAGATTCTGTGAGGTGACACTTATGCTCCTCAAAGCAAGGAGCCCTCACCATGGAACTAGGACTGGGGAGGGGCCCTCCCTGGCTACAGGGCACTTGGCACTGTATGCTATGCGTAGCCGGGCCTCTGACCAGCAGTTCCTCTTCCTGGGCTTCAGCCCAGGCAAATACCTCACACGGAAGTGAGCGAAGACAGGACCATCGATTTAGCACGGTTTATAGTGGAAGTGGGCAGCAGCCTGAATGTCCAGTAATAGGGAACTGACTCATTCAATGCTAGTATTTGTACCATGGGATGTGAGAAAGCCTAAAGGTGTCTGAAATGGTGACAGAATAAATGTGAACAAATATATAGGCTATTTCCCCATTTCTATTAAGAAAAACGAATGTCTGTGCACGCATATCTGTGTGTGACCTAGAAAAGAGGCTCAAAAAATGTACATCAGGTGGTAATAGAGATTATTTCTGGGTGGAGTTGCATATATATGTATCACCCTATTCCCACATACTCATTTTCATTCTTTCTCCCTCCTTTAAGTATAAAGTGGAGTAAGACTTGCATCTAGGACAGTGTAAATGACAATAGCATCTTCAGAAACATTCACAAAGGGAACTGGCCACTACTTCGAGGAGCGGTGACTTTGAGCCACAGTTCAGCAACTTAGTACCGAGGAGCCTGTGGGCTTCCGGTTGGAATTGGGGCCTCGAGGCGCGGAACTCCTCCCTGGATTGCACTGAGGGCTCCTCCTCCACAGCCCCGGCTCAGGGAGGGTCAGAGGTGGTGGAGGCTCTGGGGCTTGCTGCCCGGTTCTGTTAGGCACACGGACAGGTTCTACGGTGAGGCTAGCGCTTGTGGATGAGGTGTGAAAACACACTCCTGCGTGGTCACGTGAGCTAGTGTCCAAGGTTGAACGCTGCTGGTGAGTCAGACTGGATGCTGAGCAAGCAGTGAAATAAGGGACTAGGTGGGCTATGTGGTAAGTGTTTGACTGCAGTCGTGACTGGGAGAGCCTATGATCACTTCCTGTTTGTGTTGCAGCCTCCCAAAGTGAAATGCTTGACCAGGATCTGGCACCCCAACATCACAGAGACAGGCGAAATATGTCTAAGGTAAGTTTCTCTTCCTTCCTGCCTTCTCCATTTGTGAGCACTGTGTGTGAGCGTGCGGCTTGCTAACATGCTGTCTGCACTGGGAGGAGATTTTGAGGCTGGGCCAAGATTGGGGAGGTTTAGGAAACCATCCTGGTGCTTTAGGCTACACTCCAGTATCTGGAGTGGTCTCCAGCCCTCCCGCCCCAGCCCCTAGTCCCACATCCTCCTGCGCCCTCTGGTGGCCAAGGCTCCTGCTAGTCTCTGCAGCCTGCCGCCTGCCCAGGATGCTCCCTCTGGGACCCTGACCCTTCTCCCCTCCTATTTGAGTGAGAGGCTGCATTCCCTAAGAGGGAAAAATAGGATTAATGAAATCCAGAAAAGAAACTGTAGATGACAGGCTTAGGAAGAACTAGGCACTTGTATTTAAGATGCCCTCCTTGTCAAATCATCTTGATGTGCATAACAGCACTTTTGGAGCAGGATAGCTTTCCCAGAGCATCATGTCAGTTGTGTGTCCCCACCCTTCCAAGGGCAGATGATCAGGAATCAGCAATTTCCCACTTAAGATTGCTGGTTACTAATGTAGGGAGTTGGAGATGGTTTTTGTTTGTTTGTTTTCTAAGTAAACTTAGCATTTGGGCTTTGATTTTCTGCATCTGTCACTTTCTCTAGGAAGGCAGTGACGTTAATTGCAGGTGCCAGACCACCTGGACCTGAAGCCTGCCCCCACTGGGCACTGTGCGACTTGCGGGAGTTATTACCCATTATATGCCTCATACTGAGCCACGATCTGGAGAGTAGACATTAAGTATTTCCTTGGCACGATGTTTCACTTTCTTACTACGATCTAAGTGAGTTCTCCCGCTCAGCCGCTCTGTGTTCTGTCACTCCCCCTCTCCTCTTAGTGTGCCCCAGTCACCCTTGAAGGGAGATGGACCAGCTGGGAGTGCTCCTAGCTGCTGGGATGTCAGCATCCCTTTTCCTTTCTTCAAAGTGCAATTAGTACCCATTTTATTTTTTTAATATGGTGCCCCCTTTTTCATATCAACCTCATTTTTTATTGATAGTTAAAAATACATTTTATGAGTGTATACCTTTTTTAAAGGCATCTTCCCTTTTAAGTATCTGTCTTCAAGTACTGAAGCTTTAAAACTCTGCGATCTTCAGTTGCAGCTTATAAATGGTGTCTGGTCCAACTTTCTTCCCTCAGGTTTTCACCTGTGCTTGCTCACCGGGCGTTCACCACACACCAGTTCCCTGTCACGTCCTCTTCCTCCATCAAAATTAGGTCCAGGGTGAGAATTTCTATAGTCACTTTTGCTATCTTCTGAGAAATCAGACTATTAGCAAAGTATGACAGGAATTTAGCACATGGTAGCCTGCTATGAAAGCCAGAAACCTTAAAGGAAAATCTTTGATGATTTAGCCACACTAAAATTAAAAATATCAAAACACAAAATTGGAAGAGAAAAGATCATCTGGATTACATCCTTTGTATGTAAACACTTCTTACCAGTCAATATGAAAAAGACAAACACATCCACTGGAAAAATGAACATCAACTACAAGCAGGTGATTCATAGAAGGAGAAATACAAGTGGGCGCTAAGCGTCTGAGGGATGCTCACTCTCAGTGGGAACCAGAAAAAGGCACATGGAAGCAACAAGACGGTGCTCACACTTCTCAGACTGGCAGATAGAAGAGCAAACAGTCGGCGACATGCGAGTGTGGTTGTGAGAGCTGGCTCTCCCATCCCTGGAGGTGCCTGCACCTGTGCACCTGTCACTGGTCCTTCAGCTGTGAGGTCTACATTTAACTTATATTTACCCCTGGACTTATCAGCTGCCCTTCTAGGGATTTACTTGAGGGAAGTGACGTTCCAGACTTAGGGAGAAAGACCACCTCGTTTGTGAAAACTAGACAGTGTCCAGCAGTGGCTAATGCACGGCTGACTCATGGCGTCTCCTGAATACACAGAAGGATGAGCCTGGCCAGCTGCTCCTGGTCTGCAGGGACCACTAGGCAGCCTCTACCTGGATTCCTCACTCAGCAGCGCTGACTGGCGCCTGGTGCACTGTGGGGCCTTGTCTGGTACACAGAGACACTTACCTCTGGTGAGATTAGTCCCACTGCCACCTGGGGCCTTCACCCTGCTCTTGGCTCAGGGTCAGAAGTACCAAGGCCAGGAGCCCGGTGGTTACACTTCAGACTTTTTCTCCTGGAGTGTAGTCCCTGGGGCATCCTCTGTCCCCTTGCCTAGTACCCTCTCTGATGGCTGCACAGCTCTGTCACCTGAGGTCCCATGGGACTGCCGTCTGCTGAGGCTGGGCTAGAGTCTCTGTGGTGACTGTGCTCCCCTCCGTGGTGTCACCCTGCCCAGAGGTGTGGCTCCAGACATGGGCACAGCCTGCCCAGTGGCACTTGCTCCCCTGTTACTTGCTGTTGCCCTTCGTGGGCACACCTGGCTTCCAGGTACGAATCCCTCCTGCCCTGGCCATGCTGTTGACAAGGATGCTCAGAGGATACTGACTGGTCAGCCAGTGGCCTGCCTGCCAGCCTGCCAGCCTTCCATCAGCTAATGCTGGTTGAGCCCAGACCCAGTGGGGAGCAGTTTGTATTCTCTGCTTTATGGGGCCTGCAGCTGGTGGGGAGACAGGCATTCAATAAGTAGACAAACAAGTGTATAGCTAAAGATTGCAATGAGGTCTATAAAAGAAAAAGATAAGCTAGATCAGAAGTAATCCTTTCCCCTGTGGTAGTAAAGAAATCCCTCATTGGATCATATAAACCACTAGGATTTGGCACATTGTTCCCAAAAAATTAGTCAAAAATTGTAGAGGTTTTGTCTCCATCAGTGATATGGGGGAAAGATGTCCACCCGGTTAGATGGGAGTAGGGTACATGATTTGAGTTTCTTTTTTTCTTGTTTCCTTTTTAAGCTGTAGTGGTCACTTTAGGTTGGTTTTGTTTGTTCTAACTAATCTTCATAGACAATTAAGATGATACATTGACTTGAATTCTGCATATTTATATTTTCTCCTGATCTTAATTGATTTATGTGAATTTAAACATGCTCTGATTCAAAAAATTTCTTCACAGTAACACTTATGACCTGGAAAGCCTGATATTGACATGTTAGCTTAAGAACTGTTATATACAGATCAGAGCAACAGCATGATATAATTCAACAATGCCAAACTAATTTTTTCACCAAAAGGAAACTTGGCAACAAACTATAATCTTTCAAAGTATGGGATAATCACTTATGTGCAAGTATGTAATGTGCACTTACAGCTGATAAAACAGTGATGAAAGTAACTCTCAGGTCCAGTTAAGAAATAGGACCTCACAGGACCTCTGAGGCCCCTGGGCACCTTTCCTGAACATGGTCCTCCCACCCACAGGTGAGCACCATCCAGAACTTTGTATTTATCTGCCTTTATCCTTAAGTTTTCTCTGTTGAGCTTTTTTAAATAAAATAGCTATTACAATGTCATGTGCCAGAAGCTCACATTGGTGAGCTGCCAGGGTTTGGAGGACCCACTGTTGACCAGCATGTGCCCTTGGGCATGTTGCTGCTCTGTGCCTTGGTTCCTCCTCTGTAAGACAGAGAGATGGGGGCACCTCCCTCTCACATTGTCGAGGCATTAATGAGTTTAGGATCATGCTGACACACATGTAGGAAGCTCTAAGTGGCACTTGTTCCTGTTGTCATTGTTGTCACCATCATTTTCTCAATATTAAATCAAGAGATGCTCTTTGTGTGCTCTGTTTGAAGCATGCTTTTCCCTGCTTAAAACTTCCTGTGCATCCAGGATTAAAGACCTGTGTGTACAATTAATAAAAATAACCCCAGAGATCTGACTTGAGTGTGCGTACAACCCTGGAGGTTGAGAAGGCCTTCTGCAGCAAGGTAGGAAGCTGCGAAGCCACGGAGGAAAGCGGGGTCGCGTGAGCAGTGGATCTCCCGAACAGCAGACGCCTGCTGAGAGGACCTGGCAGTGCGGCGGGCGTGCGTGCGTGGGTGGCGCACCTGCGCTCTTGTGACCGGAGGCTGCTCTTCACTGACCGCTGTGCCTTTCTGTGTCTGTTTTAGTTTACTGAGAGAACATTCGATTGACGGCACCGGCTGGGCTCCCACGAGGACATTAAAGGTAGAGAGCAATGCCTTTGACCACAGCCCTCCCCTGGAATAACCAGCCTCCTGTAAGAACAGTGATGTCCTCACCGTCCCGTCCACACAGCTGGCTGGGCACACCCTGTTCCCTCCTCTCCCCGCTGCCCACCTGGGGCTGCTAGGCCATTTCCCTGGTCAGCTCCTCTGCCCTTAGTCCTCTTCGAGGCCTTGGGGTAGGGGCGGGTCATCTACTCCCCCGTCTGCCCTTTACCACTTGGGCTTCAGGTAATTTACAGTTTCTACTTCCCCCCAGTCTTTTATAGTCATCTCACCCTTAAAAGAGAGGAGAGTTTCCAGGAATGGGTAGAGAGGGAGGAAAAGAAAGGGTAGATGTGACTTTTCTCTGTCCGTTCTGAGTTATACAGGACAAGAAGGGGTGGCAGGACAGCAGCCAGGTATGTCCTGAGGGGAGAGCCCCTCTACTAGGAGTGGGGATATGTGGAAGGGGAGCCACAGGGACTCAATAAATGCCCCAGTTGCTTCTACAACATGGGCCTGAGTTGGTTTCAGGGGTGTACGTCACAAGTGCCCACATGAGGCTGCCAGCCGTGGCTTCACCTCAAGGCTTTTCTGCAGAGGTGTCCATGGGACACCTGTGGTTTCTTCATGTGGCCTGGTCTTTTTATCAGAAGTAGTCAGAACTGTTGGCTAGTGTTCATTTAGTAGTAAACAGCTACTGACTTTGCCTTCATTTTTTGACTGAGTAATGAAACAGTTCCACGCGATTGTAGCCTTTGCCCTATCCTGTGGCAGATCAATACTGCCCAGGAGAGTGCTCACCCGGTACTGGGTTCAGGGCCACTGTGTTCCCAGCCTGCACTTCAGCCCGGGTCTCAGCACAAACGCGTGGTCATCTGGCCGAGGCCCATCTTCTCTGGTGACCGTGTCCTCCTCCTCTCAGGCTGACAGTCTTACCAGAGCAAGCCCTTCAGTTGTTTGTGAAGCTCAGAGAACTGCCTGCACATTGCTCGGGCTATCTTTCTCTCTCTTCCTCTCTCCCTCTCTCTCAAGAGTAAAATTTTTTCACACACATCAGCTTTGGCTCAGTCATGTGTAGATTATAAAGGTTGTCCTAATTAAAACCACTTGTAAGTCTAAGTCAGTGCCTAGTGAGCAAGAAGCAATGGCTGGTAATGGAGAGGCTGCATTGGATGCTGTCCCTCAGGTCACAGGGGTGAGCCTGAGCAAGACTGGACATGTGTGCCAGGCTCTCTCTCCCGATAATCTTTCACAGATTAACTCCCTAGGCCCTGCCTTTTAAAATGACTTCTACAGAAAACTAACCTCATCCGTTACCCATTGACTTAGGGTTCATCTCTTAGCGTCTCTCCTCATTCCTGTTCCCCAGCTCTTGGGGTAGACAGGAGGCACATTGCAGCACCCCTACTCTTAGAGGACCCTGAGACCCAGAGAGACGTGCAGGTGACTGCACCAGGCCGGGGCCAGGTCTAGTTCTGCACATGTCCACACCTCGTGGAGACAGCTGCAAACTGTGTTGTGGTGTGTTCATCGCTCTTTGTGGCCAGAAAGGACTGTTGGGTGTTGGGTGTCACCAACTAGGCACTTCGGGGGAGGAAGACAGGGAAGGAGTTTGGGGCCCTGTCCCAGAATCAGGGGACACTGCAGACTTGATGCAGTCATGACCGTGGCTCCTCACGAGGTGTGGTCCCTGCCTCTGTGGGCAGCCTGGCCTGTCCTCCTCTCGCCACGCCCTGGACATGTCCTGCCCCTTGGAACTTAGCTTCTGTACAGGCAGTCTGTCTACCTGGAGGGTGTCCTTCCTGCCATGCCTCCACCTGGCAGGCCCCCCCCCCGCCCCCCGTGAAGCTTCCTCTCTGGGTGGGTCCTCTGTGGGAACACTTCTGTGGAGTTCTGCTGGCACGCCCGTCTTTCTGACCCCTGCAGTAGACCAAGAGCTTGAGTTCACTCCCAGCTCTGGCCTCAGGCCCAGCTCACGCCAAAAGGACACGGATGGATGGATGGATGGATGAAGGGGTGCATGTGACTGGAGAGGGACAGATGGATGGATGGGAGAAAGCAGAGAGGGGCCACTAAAATTGCCAACTAGCAGAGAGTATTGTATGAGAATGAGTTCAGGCCTAAAAACGACAAGGCTCTTGAGGTGACGAAGAGGAAGGCTGAGAAGGATGTGTGATGGAGTCACAGATCACAAGTCCACAGAGAACAGTGCTGGTCTCAGTTGTATCATAATGAAAGTTTCTGATCTTTGAATGTTAGAAAATGTTAGTCTCCCTTGATTTTTGGAGAAACTAGAACAAAATTATTAAGAAGACTGAGTGGGACAGTGAGTAATTAGCTTATCTATGATCCCCAAGGGGCCATAGAGGCAAAAACGACAGCTTGTGTTTCACAGAGGACTTTGCGCAAGTCTGAACGGTATTCAGTAGTGACAGGTGACGGCTGGTGTAGGGTGAGGCCCTCCTGTGCCGCGCCGCCCGGGGGCTCAGTCACGCATGGGGTTGCGCTCGTGGGGCCCTGGGCTTCCCGCGAGGGCAGTTTATGTTTCCTGGGATTTTGTGTTCACCACCTGTGACTGCTCGTCTCTGAACTTCCCAGGGTTTGTGGTTATATTGAAGAGTTGTTTTAATTTTCTGTCTTGGGAAAAACAGTGTGTGCTACAGATGAATTTTGATATGGCACAATATGTGTTTCGAGGTCCTGAATCTAAAAGACTTAAGGGCACAGGAGCCTGAAACTTATTTTCTTCTTTCTTTCTCATTTCAGGATGTTGTGTGGGGATTAAACTCTTTGTTTACTGTAAGTATATTGACCAAAATCCCAAGTTTTTCTTGCTTCCCGACTGCTGGTTTTAAACAGCACATAAAGGATAACAGGGAGATTAAAAACAGCACCATGTGCACACTGACCCCCTCTTTTCTCTGGCACTTGTGAGAGTCAGAAGAACAGTGAGGTGGGAACGGAGAGGGCTTTGAGTGCGCATGGGGAGGTGGTCGGGGAGGAGCAGAGCATCCCCACTCCTGCCCTGCTGGGGTGGTCACCCGCATCCTGGGAGCGTGGGGCCGGTGCCACTGCTGTAGTCCTTCACGTGGGGCAGCCGTTCCTCTGGGAGCGTCTGGCCCAGCCCCGTGCCGTGCCCGCTCCCACCAGCAGCCCAGCAGGCAGCCTCTTCGCTCCCAGGTGAGCTGCTTTGGGTGAAGGAGTCTGTGGTGATCTGGCCTGAGGCTTTTCACAAACCCCGAGCCTTAGAGTTGTTCTCTTCTCAGTGACGAGCTGCCGAAGGTTGCTGTCCTCAGAAAACAGCACATTGCAGGCAGGGTTGGAGGGCAGGAGAGGCGTGGGGAGAAGTAAAAAGTGCCCAGCTGAAGCTGGCATTTGGATTTTTTACATAATATTTGTTCCTGCAAGTTTTTACTTTTTGACCATAAAAGAACTTTAAAGGAAATAAGCGTCAGGGATCTATCTCTGACAAAAAAGCTATGCTGCTTTTGGTAAAAACCTAAGGTCCCTCCATGAAAAGGAGCCTATCCTGGGCAGCCCATAGGACGGCGGGCTGTTGGAGGGGCAGCTTCCCGGCCCCAGCAGATGCACAGGTAGGAGGGGTGTGGTGCTCCCACCTGAGGCCCAAGGACACTGGCCTGGTGGCACGGCCCTGCGTTCAATCGGGTTCCAGACGTCATACCTTCTGGGCTCTGAGTTTGATGTTTATGACTGTGAGTTAGAAGAGAAAGAGAAAATCCAGCTACAGTCAGAATAGACACCATAGACTTATTAGAAAGTCATTCATCACAAAATAAAGGAGGGAAATGAATTTTTAAGGAAAAAAGAATGGGATTTCTATTTGGAAATATTCATAATGAGTGGTTTTTCACTCTCCAGTTATCAAAAATAGCATTAGAAATTAATGTGATTGCTATTTCTTCCATTTTCACCAAACTTTGGACAATTATATGTAAGCTGACTTCTTTCAGTCAACCATTAATCACCATTTTGAAAAAGCTACTCACATGTTCAGTACTCTTATATCAAAAGAACTTTAGTTCTTAATGGAATTTCTCAACTCTCTAGGTCATTTTAGCATTCACTGATTAGATTTCTGTTGTCTGGTTCCGTAAATGAAGACTTGTAACAACAGAAAACAGATTATTTCTTTTGTTTACTTTGAGTTTCTCTCTTTTTAAGGACCTTTTGAATTTTGATGATCCACTGAATATTGAAGCTGCAGAACATCATTTACGGGACAAGGTAAGCTAGTAACAGGAATGTTCCAGGTGGATGTGTTTGGTAAAAAGATAATTATTGTCTTTTGATAAGATAAGTATGAAACTGAGAATGTGGGGCCCAGGACTGGGGTGTAAAGCAATTTATAAACAGTATGTTATAACACATGCGAGTGGTCTCAGGAAAGTGTTTGACCCAAGGTCAGTCAGGAGGGGTTTTATTGGATGTGATTTCCTAGTAGAATTCACTATGAATTCAGGCAACTGTTACTGCACCTTATTAACAATCCAGGAAGACAGAAGGGAGAATGAATAGTTGTCACACCCTCCAGCGCCCTCCTGGCCCCCAGCTGGCTACATCACCTTTCGATGGGCTTGTAGGCAGGCATGCCTGTTTGCTTTTGTCCCCAAATAATAGGATGATATTTATGACCTCCTAACAATTCTCCTTTATTTTTAACTTTTTTCCTTTAAATTAATGCATAAACTATCACTCAGTCATTTTAGGAGCTGTTTAATAGTCCATAAAGTGGCTCTACCCTACCTTTTTTTTTTTTTAAAGATTTTATTTTTTTCCTTTTTCTCCCCAAAGCCCCCCGGTACATAGTTGTGTATTCTTCGTTGTGGGTTCTTCTAGTTGTGGCATGTGGGACGCTGCCTCAGCGTGGTCCGACGAGCAGTGCCATGTCCGCGCCCAGGATTCGAACTAACGAAACACTGGGCCGCCTGCAGCGGAGCGCGCGAACTTAACCACTCGGCCACGGGGCTAGCCCCTACCCTACCTTTTTCAACCATTCTCTTATTGGTGGGCACTCAGGGTTTCCGCACGGGGTTTTTATCTGACTACAAACAGTAATACAATAAATGTTCCCTGTACACACATCTGTACAACGTGCATAGAAAGGCATCGGATCTGGAGCAGGAGGCTGGGAGACGGCCTGTGTGCCTGGACAAGGCTGATAGAGGTTGTTCAGCCTCGCCTGGGGCCAAGCTAGGTAGCTAGTTAGGCCCAAGCAGGCGCCACTACCGTGCTGACTTGGTTTAGTCAGAAAACCTCGTGTTTCATTTTCTGAACCAGATTCCCTGCGAATCCTCACCAACCCCAGCAGTCAGCCACCAACACTGTTGGATTGGCTGACATTGCTCTGAACATATCAAGTTCTAAAAGCCATCAGGTTCATTCTAAATACTGTACTGAACGTTTGGAGCAAGTGCGTCTGTTTCTGTAAGACCTGCTGTGCCCCAGGTGTGCAGGGTGTTTTAAATGTGTGTGACAGAGGAACAGGGGTGCTGCCTCAGCAGGACCCCAAGGAGTGGGCAGGAGTGCCACTGCCGGAGACCTGAGAGCCACGGCAGCCAGCCCGTGTCCTGTGTCACATGCCCCGCAGGGCACAGGAAGTCGTGAGCGGGACTGGAGGGTCAGTAGGTGCTTTTGGTCAGGCAGAGGCGGCTGGCTGTGAGCCCAGCGCCCTGCTGGGGAGGTCAGGAGACAGTAGAGGCCGTGGGGAGAAGTGCCCGTGGCGTGAGACGGCCCTGGGCGGCCCCTCGGCCTATTCTCAGGGCTCACTGCCTGCAGCAGCCAGCCCTCCGCACCACCTCTGGGCTCCCTGGCCGCGGGTGCTGCGCTGGGTTGCGCAGGACCTTGGTTTGTCCACTGCGCTGACAAGCCCTGCAGGCATGCCCCGGGGCCCCCACCTTTTCAGGGGGCTCTGTTCATGTCGTAACTCCACCTGTCACAGTCACGGACAAGGACACCCCCACTCAGCACTGTGACTGTTGGCCGCCCTTGTGGACTAAGCTTGTCGGGGAAGGAAAGCAATGACAATGGGGAACACGCCTCCAGAGCCAGCTGGAGAAAGAGGTTACAAGTCGTCTTTTTCTTGGAAGGTTGCTTCCTACTCTGTATGAAATAAGGGGAAGACTTGCAGTTTATAAACTTATAGCCCCAGTAAGATGGGCCTGAAGTCCTCCGTACAGCGACAGCCCCACGTGAATTCTAGGATGAGTCCTGAGCAGTTACTGCGCTCTCTGCTGCTTTGTGTATTCGTTATTCATCCCAAGTTTGGCCGGTGGCCACTCAAGTGCCGTGTGAGGTGCCCACTGCTCAGGATAGATGAGTGGACAGATGGTCCCTGTCCCTGTGGAGTGGACATGCGACTGGGAGGAGGCGGAGCACTGATGAGCAAACATCACATGAGAGGGGGTCTGGGGGTCAGGGCGTGCGTGGGGTGAGGGGCGATGGGTGTTACTATTTTATGTCGGGTACTCAGGGCCTTTAGGATGTGAACCAAGTGGGGAAGCGTATTCCAGAGAGTAATGGCAGCCAATGCAAAGGTCCTGAGGCGGGAGTGTGCTGGGGTATTCAAAGAAGAGTACAGAGGCCAGCCTCACTAGAGCAGGCAGCAGGACAGCAGGGACATGATAGTAGCAGCAACCCTGAGGGCCCTCGCAGGTGCCAGGCACTGTCCCAGGCACTTCCCTGAGGGCATTTCTTCCCCTAACAACTCCACGAGGCAGGGACTCTTGTTATCCCTGATTTGTTGCTGAGGAAGCAGAGACACCAAGAAGGTGAGAGGCTCACCAGGAAGGGGTGGAGCCAAAGATTTGAACCCAGGCATTCTGGCTTCAGAGTTCAGGGTTTTCACTCTGGTCCTGCTCTGCGGGCCCCTAGGCAGAGTGAAAGGTGGGAGGCAGCAGAGGTCCGAGCATGAAGGGCCTTCTGGAGGCCATGGACTCTGGGCCTTGTCCTGGGTGAGGTGATGAGAGCAAAGGGAGTTAGACTAAGAAGCAGAGGCACCTTTGGTCTGAGGGCAGGATGGGGGTGGGGGTGTCTGCGGGGTCTTCACATCCTGTGAGCCTTGGCTGTGGCTCCTTAGGACTGATGGTGTTGTGGGCTTCAGGATACCGTGGAAATGGCCTTGGGAGAGTTTTTGCTAGAGGCAAGTCAGGGCATCTGTGCAGCCTGTCTTTGCTGCAGGCTGCGTGGGAGCCTCTGAACGCAGTCCTGTCAACAAGTGCAGGCACTGGCAGTCAGGACCACCTAGTGTGCGATTGTAGCTCTCCACTGTCTCACCTGAGACCATGAGCAAGTCACTGAACCATTTCCAGAACTTGAAAACTAGGGACCCACCCTGACCTTGAAAGGGTCACTGTGCTAATTAAGTGTGGCAGAAGAGCAGGCCAGCTCAGTGCTCCACTGCCTTCTAAGTGTGTCCCTTGGAATAGACGCAGCTCCAGGCAGCAGCTTGCCACAAGAGGGTGCACGTCAGCACCCACCAAGAGCTGTGCTGTGCTCCCTGAATAGTGGGGGTCACATGGCCTTGCGCCTGTCACTTGATGGGACGGAAGCAGAGTGACCTCACAGGACATCAGTGACCTGGCAGCTGTGTTGTAGGAGTAAGAGGGTCAAGAGGCTGCCTGTTAGATCACACAGTGTCCTGCCACTAAATGTGGGCATTCTGAGGTGGGTGGGGTCCCCTTGCCCAGTCCTGCAAGGCCAGAGAATTTTGCTTCTAACTTTGAGAGAGAACAGACGTGGCTGCTGGCTCAGATCTGAGGTGGCTTTCCCTCCCGCCCATCCTGGCCTGGGAGATCCCCAGATCCAGACCTGAGAGTCAGTCCAGGCTCCCAGAAGGCCTCTGCTCAATGCGCAAGGAGGGAGCTCTACTCTGAGCCCACCCCTCCTCTCGGGCAGGTAGTCAGCCTGATGGTGGGCTGCACTTGGGCCATGAAGAGTGGGCACATTTTAAATAGGCAGCAAGGCAGCAGAGAAGTCATTCTGGGAAGACAGATGTGGACACAAGGGTCTTTCTGAGAGCAGCAGCCATAGCTCATACCCATTTGTGGTCAAGAGTCCTGGCTTGACTCATCGTGACCTTGACCACACTCGTGGGCCTCACTCTCCCCATCTGCAAAATGAAGGGTCTTTGATCCCTTACTCTTAGAGCTTCTGTGGTTGTGTCCCCACCTCAGCACCCCGGCACAGTGCCTCGCACACAGTGGGCACGCAGAGTGGTGGGAAACAGCGTGCAGCTCCGTAGGTCTCTGATGACCCTGCCGCCTTGGTGACTGGAGGGTGGAGGGCAAGCCCTACACATGCTCTCGAGAGCTCCAGCAGGTCCTCAGCTCAGGTGGGTCTGACGTGCTCCTGAACTTTCGCTTCCCCTCACTAACTCGCTCCCCCTCTTCTCCCTTCTCTCCTGATCCCTCGCTCCACAGGAGGACTTCCGGAATAAAGTTGAAGACTACATTAAGCGTTACGCCAGATGATAGGAGGAGAAGACCGCAGGGCCGTGGACTGTGTGTTCTAAATCTGTCTCAGCTTAAACCAAGAGGGAGCCCTCCTCCCCAGTCCTCACGCTCCCTCTCAGTCCCACTGGGTCGTCCAAGTCCTGTGACATGTTGTCCTGAGGAAGAACCTCTTCACGACCGCCCATTGTAGACGGAGAGATCCACATAAATACAGCAAGAAAATGTGTTTGGGGTTCTAAAGAGTTGTCTGCTTACCTTAACATGTTTACTTTTTGAAACTGTACTGTATAGGCTATTGATGAGAAGTTGTAATGAACTCAGAGTTAAGGCTAGAGCTTGCTTCTTCCCTTGTCCCAAACAAGATTACTTCCCTGCACAAGTGATGCTAATGACGTGCTCAGTGTAGCTCGCAGATTGGCGGCAAGAAACCCGCTACAAACTGTGATTGGATGCAAATTCTCTTAGCTCCTCCACGAATGGTGGCCCTGCCTAGGTGTCGTGAAGCTTCCCAGAATGCATAGAGTCATTCACTGTAGATCTCTTACTGAAATGCGTATTTTATTTAATGTAAGTATATTTTGGAACAGATTTGTAATTTGTACAATTTAATGCTTTAATTATTTTTTTCTATTCTCATTTAGTTTGTATTTTCATTGTATAGAGCAGACAGAAAGATGTTGGGTGAAGCAACTATTGAAGAGAAATACAAAGAAAATATGAAAGACACATTATTCATTGTGTCCAAATGCAGCGAGAATTTGGCTTTTAAAAATCAGCTCTTTTGCTTTCGGGTCCAGATGGGGCAAGGAAGTTTTGGAACCCTTTGAAGCTAGATCTGGATGATTTAAAAAAAAAAAAACAGGGAGACCTTTCTCACATGCTGCCCAGAGGAAACTGGCTGGAGCCCAGAGCAGCCCGGGGCCTTGGGTTTCTGCAGAGGCCATGTACCCATGGCCAGTAGCAATGCCTATGTAGCTCCTTATCAGAGAGCCAGACCCTCGTGCCTGAGGGACAGAAGCGATACCTCTGAAAGCAACCTACACAGCATCTGCTGCCACTGAGACCATATCTGTGGCCTCTGAGTTTGCTGTGGTTCCGGGCCCAGAATGGGGCCTGAGTCTCCTAGGCCTCAGAGGGCCGGGAATCAGCAGCAGCCTATAGCCATACTTGGTCAGGTCAGTGCGCTTTAGAGTAAGAACACCGAAGAGGCACATGGATTTACTCCAGCATTTAGACATCTGAACCAGCGAAATCAAATGCAAGATACATGTTTGTCTGTCTCCCCTGCTGCCTGCCGAGCACGTTCCAGTTTAACTGACAGCCTCTTAGACCTGGACTCCCCCCAGCTGCCGTCTACCTGGTCTGATTTATTTTTCTTAATTGATAATGTAACCTCTGATGATGAGATCAGTTTGTCCTTAGAGATCAGAAGAGCAGTAATGTAGGCCATGCTTCCCATTTGTAGTCAGGAATTATGCCCATCAGACTTGAGGGTGGCCTCGGCTAATGGGCCACACCTCTGGTGCTCTGAGCAGGAAGGGTGGGGCTGGATTAAGGGCATGGTGGCATCTCAGCAGCTCAGGGCCTGTCAGGGAAGCACAGTAATCCCTGCCCCCTGAGGCCTGGGAGAGCCGCTGCAGTTTACACACTTACTCAGAGCTCTGCCCAGTGTCACAGGAATTCGCCAGCCGGGCACTGAGTCATCCTCTGCTAGGGGGTCAGGAGACCAGCAGCTGGTCTGCCCACATGCCTGATTTCTGCCCCTGTGACCCAGGGCATGCAGCTCCCTGCCTTATGCCAAACCCAGGCTCGAGTCATGACACATCTCACAGCTGGTGGTGCAGATGGAGGTGGAAGAAATGATACTGGCGCCTGTAGTTAAAAGGAAACGTGCATAATGTAGGTAAAAGACTGTGCCCTCTGGACCAGATGAAAGGATAATATGTTGTTAATTCTGACCTCAACGTATTTGCACAATAGAAAAATACTTTGCTTATCAGGGATCAAGTAATTCTTCAAAAATGACATTTCCACATAATGGGATCATCCCTTTCTGTCCAGTGGGAAGCCCTCAGGGGGATTTTGTCACCCCCTCCCCAGCCCCATCTTGTTAAGGAGCACACCCAGCTTGGCCCATCACATTGAGCAGCTGGTACTGTGCTGGCTACTTGGCCGGTGGGGCCCAAGGCACCATTGGTGGCTGTGGGACTCTGATTTCCAGGCTTTTGGTTTTTTGGAGTCTCCTCCCCACTCTCAGGCCAAAGTAACATTTGTGGCTGCCATCCTTGTGCCCCACCAGTCTGGTGATAGTTGATGATTGCGTCTGCCAGAGGGTGGGAATGCGGAGCCTCTGGCCAAAGAGGCCAGCCCTGGAGTCAACAGGAGTGAGGCAGGCCCTGGGGACATGAAGCTCCTGGACAGCCCTGACATTCAGTTGGGTCCCCATGACTCTACTGCTGAGAATTTGATATGTCAGCTGCATGTTTTCCAAGTAGACTTAGAAGGAAACAGTTCCAAGGTAGGCCTCTCAGAAGGAACAGGCTCCCCTGCCCGCGTTACCTTCCCTCAAACGCATACCTGAAAGTTACCTCCCTGTGCAGTCTTCCTAATGGTCCGGGGCGAGCGACCGGCTCAGACGCTGAGCACTGTATCCCAGCTGTGTCCCCTCCTTTTTCCCTGCAGCCCTGGTCCTCGCTCCTCATCTGTGTTGTTTGCACCCACTTTATTTGAATTGTTGCAGAGCACCGGCTTCACAAGATGCCCTGCTCTGCCCACCCTCATCTTCAAGCTCTGAAAGCCTTAGAGGGCTGCTTATACGGTTTCCACCAGCTACAGACTAACCCAGGTTGTGCTCCTGCTAGAGAAATCACTGCCATACATAAGCTCTTGTGAAAACTTAATCGAGGGCTGGTTCAGACTGTTCGCAGTAGCTAAAACATTCTGAATGTACAGTCTTTAAAAGGAGCGTGTACTTAGTATTTGCCAGTTTCAGCGTTTCAAAGTGTCCATGCATATTTTCCTCTGTACTTAGTTACATTCCAGGGACTCACACACTTGTCTGGAAAGACGTCATGGGTGCAGAAGGCAACAGCTTCCTTCCCCAAGCCTTGGCCACAGCCAGGCCAGTCCCAGCAGAGTCCCCAGCCCACTCGTGGGCCACCTGGTGGCAGAGCCAGCGTATCTTTTTCTTAGGGCAGTGGAAACAGATTGAACAGCCCTGCTGCTGGGGTCTGGAGCTTGGCCGAAAGCCCCAGAGGGCAGACTCCCAGACAGTGGTGCTGGCCAAGGTGTGTTACACGTCCTCTGGGGCCAGACCCCGCGGTTCCCAGGGTTGCTGTGTTGTCCACCCCCACTTCTTTAGAGAACTGCTGTGAAAAAAATCACAAATTCCTGTTAACATCAGACTTTTTGCTGATTTGATTATCAAATCAAGCAGAATTTTTTTCACATAAAAATTCCAGCAAGACATTAGCCACCAATTGCAGTCTTGAATAGGACACTTCTTTCCCAGCTAGTGCAGTCTATTCCAGGATTGCTTCCATTTTCATCCACTTAAGAATGTTTAATCTTGGAAAGTCAGGTTTGCTACAAGTTCATTGTTCTGGATATAATAAAATGTGTCTAGTGACATGCTAACATATAGTCTTAGTAAAATAACATTTTACTTTTCCTTTGCTAAAGAACTCAGAAAATAAAAACCATCACACCCTTCTTTTCTCCCTCCCATAGCCCTGCCTCAGACAAACCCAGCAGCCCTGAGGGCATAATCCAGAGGAATCCTCATTGCCCAGTGAACCAAAATTAATTCATTGAAAGAACTGTGGTTTGAAAAACGTTCTTCAAAAAACCCAGTGATAGAGGCGTTTGGGGACTTTGCAACGTGAAGAATGTCTGTTTATTCAGGTTCAGCTGTATAAAGAACTGAATTATTATAATCTCTTTTTTAAAAATCCATTTTAGGGTTTGTTCATTTTCATTGCTAAATTCACTGAGCCAGAGGTCTTCCAGTAAATTCACTGTTTTTTTTTTTTTTTGAGCTTATGTCAGGGCCAGTTGGAAGAAAATGCATGCCCCATGAGTTCCTGGTGCTGGAGGAGAGACTCGAGACAGCCCCATGCACAGCAGACGGATCAGTACTTGTCAGGGGCCAGTGACCAGGAGAGAGAGTTGGACAGTAGCTGTGGATGGCTGTGCACCTTATGCAGTCTCCCCACTGAGCCTCGGGTCCACCATTCACACCCAGGAGAGGTCTTGCCCTGCTCTGGTGCCCAGGTGAGGCCTGCTCGGTCTTCTCTCCGGCCTCGCAGGACTGACTTGTCCATATTGTATTTTTGGTGTTGGGTTTTCATCCCCTCGGCGTCAGACCTCATTGACCTTCCTCACGACTCGTCACTCCCAGGCAGTGCGTGGCGCTCCGTGTTGAAACATTATTTTGTTCTTAAACCAGTTGTTGGTCTTAACAAACATCTCTTTAAAAATGTACTCCAACCTTGACAGCCCTGCTCACCTGTGCCCTTCCTTCCCCTGCCCATGGAGAGGTTGAGGAGCCATAGCTGGCTGCAGCGTGTGATAAAGAGCCTTGTTTCCTATTCCTAAGAGGTTTCAGCCTCAAGTTAGAGTCTGAGGAGAGGAAACCTGTCTCCCTGGGGAATGCTGTGGCTCTCAAAGGAGCAGGAGACACGGGTAGAGCCAGTGACCGTGGATCCCACTGTGGCTGCTGTGTGCCTTGCCAGACCAGTAACGGTGGCGTGTGACACAAGCCACAGTTGACATAGGAAGAGCAGCGGGTGGAAGAAGACCTGGCCAAACGCTCTGATGACACGGAGACAAACTGTTGGGCTGACCTCCTCACGTCCTCCCCACCGTGCTGCCAGAGGCTTTCTGAAACGACCCTTCGCTGTGCCATGTCTTCCCACTGCCTCCAGAGTAAGCACCCTGGTGCCTGGCAGGTAGGGCCTGCCCACTGTGACCAGGCCCTGTCCACCCTGCCAGCCACTGTCCTGACGGCGCCGGCCTCCAAGTAGTGCTTCCGTGCCCTGGGGTGAGGTCTGCTCTCCCAAAACACCCAGCTCCCCTCTCGGGGCTCCTGTCAAGCTTCAGTTCCCATGATCCCACACTGAAGCCTATCTGACAGGCAGATGGACAGTTCTGGGGGATCCTCACCTTCCCAGGCTTCCAGAAGCACCGAGAGTGTGGTCTGCACTTGCTCACATATGTATGCCTGCCTGTCCCAGGAGTCCATCGGCAGCTGGAGCACAGGGCCTTATCCTAGCCATCCCGCAACAACTGAACAGGTTAGTACAAAGTGCTTATTCAGTGTTGACTAGAGGCAGCAGGAGCTTGCGCACACAACTACACTAGGTGCAAGCCTGCTCAAGACAGTCACTTCATCAGAAGCTGGGCACGCTGGCCACCCAGCCAATAGCTGAGGAGGGCATCTGACACCACACTGGTGTGCAGTCCACCCTTCCATCAGCTGACAGATGCTGAACAGGTTGCTTTGCTTAAGTAAATGAGCATGTGAAAAAACACTGCAGGAAAAGAAGAAATAATATCCAGCAGACTCTTAGGATGAACATGATGGTGGAAATGAAGTGTAGGATTGAAAAACTGTTTCAGTGGAAAAACCACATGTTTAGGAAAATGCAGTAAACTGCACTTTTGACTCAGAATTAAGAAGTCATAAGGAAACAATAAGCAAAAATGAAATGGCAACAGGATGAAACTATAACCATAGTAATAAATCCGCAGCACTGTAGGGCAGTAGTGATGCTGGAAAAATAGACCAATGATGTGGAGACAAATTTAATAAATTCTCCCAGAATGCAGAAGAGAAGAGAGACAGAAACCATCAGTGAGATCATGACAGAAAGGACAAAGGGGATTAGTGCTTGTGGCTAAGATGGAGCTCCAGGATGGAATGAGCTCACCCATCTGAGAAAGCAAGCACCTGTAAGTATATGCAGAATGACAGTTTTCAGACAGTGCACAGGTGGTGCAGGGCAGTGACCCCTGAGTGAGACTTGCCCGGCCTCAGCACGGGGAAGGGGGACCTCCGTGGAACCCAGCAGGCACTCTGACTTGAGATGGAACTAAGAATCTAGGGAGACCAAAGGAGCTAGCATTCCCAGGGGAGAGGGTCGCAGAGAGAGCGAGCTTTGGGGACCTGCAGAGGGGTCCTCTCAGGCCTTCAGCTGGATACTGACTAGCATATGCACCTGAGAAAACTACCTGAGGGTGGGGAAGAGCACCCCCCAAAAAGGAGCAGAGAAAATGACACTTGGGGCTCACACATGACCAGGAAGAGTGCACATCCCCATGAGCTAGAGTGGAAAACCTTGTGATTCCCAGCACCCTAGAAAGACTAGACGGGCTCAGTAACAGGAAAACATATACTAAAGGCTGCACTGGCCCCACCCAAAAATGTTACAAGCAAGCCTTAAAAGGGTGCAGTTATTTCAAAGTAACTGTGTCCCAGAACAAAGACAAATAGGATTTTAAAAACCCAAGCAGCCAAGCCCAGAAGGCCTGAGACTACCATCCCCTGTCCAGAGGCACCAGAGCAGCCAGACAGCACCTGCAAAAGGGATTCTGCCACAAGCACCTGGCCCCAAAATCCTCTGGCCACCATGGGCCTGAAGCTCTCTACCGTCCTGACACACTGGGGTCACCAGCGAGCACCGATGGGGAGCCCACCACCACGAGTGCCCAGCCAGGCAAGTCTGCATCCCTGCAGACCAGAGATTCCCATTCCCCAGTGAGACAATGACCAACCTAGCCTGGGGACATCCCATCTCAGTAGATGGGACCAGTGGGAGTCCTAGCAGCACCAGACAAACCACAGACCAAAATCACACTGCAAAGGCTCTGCTGTGCCTGGGTGCTCTTTTGTCTGGTAAAACAAAAGACTTAAGTGGAACTCACAGTGTCTTAACATAATAGAATATCCAGGATATGGGGCCAGCCCGGTAGCGCAGCAGTTAAGTTCATGTGCTC